ACTATTTATAGAAACAGTAGTATTCTCTCATTGAATATAAACTTGAAAAGGGTTGTGGGTTATTTGCAATATACTCGTTTGTATACATGTATCACGCAATAAATGTACAACAACATTGTTATGGCAGCATATCTAAATTGTTCTAAATTTCATAGTCAATCTGACAGTGAAAGATTGTCTCCGCTTCTTAGCTGCGGATGTCGAGTGCCGAGGCACGAGTTCGCGGAGGTCAGCCGATCGCGGACGGCGATTACGTGACTCCGTCTAACGGTACACTTTGGAGCTCAGCAATAACACTGTGCTGGCACTGCACTGTCGCGGAGCGATAACGCAACTTCAATACAACACAAATGTTCTGTATTGCTAATAAAGAAATACCAACAGACAACAAGCACCCTAATTACGAAGTAGCAACCGCTTCCAGACAAACTAGAGCAAAATCAATACGTAAAATTACTGAGGGATGCAATAAATATACAATTGTACGTAAATAACCCGTTTGTAGCGCAGCCGCTCAAATCCCTATGGCGACATGTACTTTCTATTACGACTTCAAATTCTACGTTACGAACGTTTTTGAATGTTAAGTAGCAGTATAGATGCGTGGATATGTCGTAATAAAACCCGTAGGTCGAAAACGGTTCACTATCCTTGGAAACCCTGTGTAATCCCCTCGCATTAGACGAGCTTGGCGGACTGTGGACTAAACACCCATCTCAGCAGTGGTACGTTGATGATGATGATAACGTAAAATAGTCAGACATAAGTTATTTCTTATTTCTATAGTTTTCTCAGTGACTGTCATTTTAGTAATAAAGGCATTGACTTACAAATAAATGGACGACGGGTCTAATACAAAAACCACGAAAAAAATGTCCCAATTCAACCTATTTAAACGTAGTGACATGTAAAGGAATATGAAAAAACTAAAACGTTGAATTTAAATTGTAATGTCATCGCAGTACTGTCTAATTTTGCTTGCTTCGCTGTCAGTCGAACAAACGAAGACTAAAGCGTGAATGACGCTCTGTATACGATATTAACGCCCTATAAGTTCGGACACTTTTTAGCGCGGACCCGACGTCCACATAATTGTAAGTCAATGAATAAAGGAACAAAACTATAAATCATCACCGATAATTATCAGGTATATATCGGATTATTATCAAAGAAAATCAGTATTTGACAATTTGGAACTCTGAAAACAACAATAGATACTACGAATTTGTTCGTCAGTTAGTCACATTTCCACCAGAACGCGAAAACTTAAGAAATGCAAACCCTTTGGTGAAAATTGCAACCTTATCGTTGCACATCGCGCGTTCTGCCACCCAGCTACTGTTACTGTCAACGGTGCGGGTGTAACGAAACAATAAAACAACAATAAAAACCTGCAAAAAAACTGTTTACGAAATCACACTATTGGCCAGTAACTGCTTTTGTCAGGAACTAAGGAGCAATGGGACCAGGGGGCGAGGACGTTGCAGGCGTCAAAAGGCGCACGGCGACGCAGCCACACAGCGGTGGCTAAAGCTAGAGCGTCTCCATGCATTTCATTTTATAATAGAAGAGCACGCCAAGCTTCACACTTGGACCTTTTTAAGCCGAACGGAGATAAGTGTGAAGCTTGACGTGCTCTTGATCCTGTACATAGTGCATGTACGACAGAGGCCAAAATATCTTCTCATCCGTGCACAGCAGTAGAACGTGTATGGTTGATACAGATGGCACTTCAAGTGTTGGTCACAGTCATACGGGTACCGGGTGCTATAAAGTACGGTTCACAGCAAATGTTCCCTCCGTCCCAGTCGTATGTAAGAAACCTGTGGCGAAGCAAAACAAAGAATTTTCATTACGTTCTGCAGTGGAACGGCATTGTTGATGAAACTTTTCCTTCAACATAACCTACAGTAATTATCCTTTATTAGGGCCGTGTTTTGGGCGGCGGGGGGCGGGGTAGGTACGTATTACAACTAGAACGGCTTGCAACAATAACGCACGTAACAAATTACGCCTCATCCTCCCGCGCCGTGCACCCCTCCCGGCCAACCCTCGGCAATAGTTGCTGATATCGGCAGCTTCGCCCTACACTGCCATCATTTTCTTTTTTCGAAAGTATACGAGAAAAATTTGATGCAGATGAAACCGAATTACGTGACAAACCGGGAAATTTCAGTACGAACTTAGGTCGATAAAACGCTCACATTTGAAAAGCATTTACGAAACGTACTTATCTTTAAATGATATTAACATACTGCAACACTAGTTCATTTAAGTTACTAGAACGTCAAAGGTCTTGTAGGCTTATGAGTGCAATCCTTCATTCATAAGCTTCAAATTACCATCATTTCGAAACAGACGACGCGCGGTAATTACGGAAAGCAGTAATTTTTCGCACAAACAACGCTTTAATTGTAACAGCATTAAAACGATGTAACGGGGTAAATTGACTATTTAAAACAGATTTAAAGAGTTTGTGCGCGTATTGCCACGATATTATATAAACACGTGTATTAAAGCAGGTAGTTTTGTATGATTGGATCCCGCTGTTAAATCGGTAAGTACCAACACATCGTTTCATCTGCCACCTCGACATATACTATTCCGCTCCCTTATAATACAGGGTGGTCGTAAAAGGCTCCCACCTATTTTGCACTCGTAAAAGTGCCTCGTAAATTTGGCACACAAATGCGCTCGTCGCTGGGCGCGGCAGATACGGCCGGGATTCAAACCCGGGACCCCGGACCCGCGCAATAATCTCACTGCTATACTATAAGTAGGCTGTCAATGGGTTCCCTTTCGCATTTTTGACGGTTGATGTATTGGATGGGGGACTGATTTCGTCGAATTTGATAGCATATAAATTTTGATGAAATTTTAAATGAGAGATTTAACAAAGTTATGTCTGTTGCATGATGATGTGTGTTATTATTAATATTAATTATTTACACGTGGACGGTAAATAACAGGAAAAATCATTTCCCCGTTATTTACTATCCACTTTAAATAATCACTTTAAATAATCATATTTAATTATTGATTTGACGATTTCAAAGACCAATATAATAATACTTTTTTCAATCGTATTGCTAACGTTTTATCTACACAATGCGAAACATATCAAGGCATCACTCGACGGCAACACAACGCCTTGAATGTTGAATATCTGTCATAAAAAATTCACCCCTAAGATCTCCCCGAACCCCAGTCGAATGTGCGTATTTGGCATAATATCAGCATCGCTACCGCCATATTGTCTTTAAGTTATGACAGTTTTGGTGAATAGAGCGGAAATCCCGTGCGTCGCGGCGTTGCCGATGCCGGGGCCGGGGCCATAATGGATTCAATTCGAGCGATTGATTTTGGAACACGCTTTATGCCGTCCCAGCGTTTTGGAACAAAGCTGTCATGATAACACTTTTGCTTTGATCAAATATGCATGCAGACAGTGGCGAACATTCGTGTAATACACACACAAAGTTTCTCTTGAACTAAAATACATGTCATATAAACATTTTACCAGCCCTCATCGGGGTACTATGACGGGATTACAGAACAGGATTACAACTGAAGTCTCTTAACAAAGCTTTGGAAAGTTATAAAATATTTATGTGCCCACCAACAACACCAGCGACTTTTGTTCCATAACTTATACATTATGAATACTTTCAGGAATTGAGTTCAACAGATTAATGGTGATGATGTTATGTAAGGTCGAGCAAATTCACAAATTTCAGATATTTGTTATTTGTTACAGGAAATGCGGCCTAAATTTAAAAGTTTATGAACCTCTCACCAGGCCACGGCTTTAATCAAAGGCAGTATTTGGAGTACTTAATTAGTTCGAAACGGTGTTTAAAAGCGCACGAGTCGTGATTCAATATAACTTGAGCAGCGATCGCGACAACTTTTGTCGTTTACATTCTATCTATGGAAGCGCCCGCGCGCCCCCCCTCCCCGATCGCCCTCAACTTGCTGCCACTTGCGGCAATGCGCCGCCGCTCACGGCTCGGGCGCTCACTCGTAAATTACCCCCTCAAAAAAACTGTATTAAACGTCAAACGGCCGTAACCATAAAACAAAGTACATACTTACACAAAATGGAATTTCGTTAATTTAATCTGGAACTTGGCACCCCCCGCGTACCCCTCCGCGAGAGCATGGGAGCTTCCCCTCCATTGAGACCTCTCGTCTGAATGGCGGAGGGGACCATTCAACATGAGCCCCAGATGTTGGGAAACACTCTTCACATGCGTTCAAAAGAAGAGGACGCAGAAGGTCAAGATATATTGATCCGCGTAGGCTCTCTAAACCACGAATAACCATTTTCTGGAGACATTCATTTCAATGTTCATAACTAAACCTTTTAGGTCGTTCTAAACTGGTCATACCTCAAACGAATGGCCAGTCTAAGTTGAGCTTCAAGTAAACGGGTATTGATAGTTACAAAGGGGTCTAACTATATGATGAGTTTATTTATAGCAGTGCCAGCAGCTCTTTGTCGCTAAACCACTAATTGTTTCGGGTAAAATAATAATTTTGTTTACGAACAATAATATTGTTGCAAAGAGGATATTTTATTCCGCGTTTAGGTTTGTAAGAGCCATCAATTAGGTAGGTTTAGACTTAAAATACTTCATAGGTGATATGAACTTACTTACTGATGGTGACAATTGGGCTTGTCAAATAGGTAAGGCATTGCGATATCTACCTATTAAAATGTAAGCAGGTATTATACCGGGATGAAAATTATAATTAAGTACTTAGATGTATCGTTTTTTACTTCTCTTATGAATTCGTTATGCTTAAGACGTACCTATAGTAATAAACAACAATCAAGTAACGTCGACTGCACTCGAGCAATCCAAGTCAAGGTCGGAACAATAACGTGCAACTCGACGCCGCCGGCCGGCCATCGCCGCTCGCCGCGAACGAGACGCGGGCGCGACCGAGCGAGCGCGAACCCACCCGAGCGGGCTTGAATCTAACATCGACCGCCCCCCTCCCTCAGTCGATTCGCGCCGCGCAACAGCGAACACGTACCGAATTCACGTTCGCGCCACTAATTTCTGATTAAGAATTCCTTTTGTCCTTTGTTTGGTGTTCTATTTTTGTTTGGCAATCAATCGATACATTAAACAATGGGTGAACTAGAGTGGACGAACGAATTGGCGATTCGTCTCATTCAAGAATATGAGAAACGCCCCGAACTGTGGGACACGACCCACGAGATGTACAGAGTTCAAACATTGAAGTACGAGACGTGGTCGGAGCTGGCGCGGATGTTCGACTGCGACATTGCGGACTTGCGCAAGAAGCTGAACTCGTTGTTCGCGTCGCACCGCCGCGAGAAGGCGAAGGTTCGCGCCGGCGGGCGATCCACGTGGTTCCTGTATCCGTACATGAGTTTCTTACCCTCGCATATCGGGAATGACAGTGGAGAGGCTGTTGTTTACATTTCGGTAATTGCTTCTCATTTACATTCAATTCGGTGTCAGCTTATTCACAATGATATTATATTTTATTCGTTGTGAATCAAATACCTACACCCATTACATAACATATGTGAAGTAGGTGCCTATAATCCAACAACTCGTTTCCTGATTAGCCGTTCGGCAGCAGCTGCGCAACTTACATCCTAACATCCACAACAATTCGCATAACGCTCAAAGGAAGCTTAAAAACAGGAAATGCAAAGCGGAATAACAAACTATAAATAATTCCTACGCCACAAACTTAAATGCAGTTAATAACAATCGATTTCTCACATAGAAACACGATGAATGGGTTTTCGCAGATACCTTTACTTCCATCCATATGGTATATTAGGCTCGTCTAGGCGTTGGGTATGAATATGGAACTTTAGGCGCAGCGCAAACGTGTCTAGTGTTGGATACAAGCAACCGGCAACTAGAAACGAATATTCTATTGTCATACATTTGCGGTTGCCGCAACCGGCGATTGTGTCGATTTCACATCAATTGTATGGAAATGGAATATTCGTTTCTTTCTTTCGTGCTTGTATCCAACGCAAGACACGCGTTTGCGCGGCGCCTTAGACGACCGACGACCGTCGTCGCAAGCAAAGTTTCCTCAGATATTAATCTTACTGAAATACCGTAAGTCAAAAGCAATGATGTAGCTATTGAAATAAATTTTATTATGGTTGTTTGCGGTTATTAATTTCATTTTATTAGGTCAAATGATTACGACAGGAAAATGTATTATTCGAGCCAAGTTAATTTAATTGCGCCTTGTATTAATTCGCTGTAGGTTATTAAGTTATTGTTTAACATGATATAATTATTGATTGGAGAGATACGTGAAATTGTGCAAAAAAATTTCCTCTGCCTAAACCGCAAACGTCAAATCTGATGGTGTGACGTCCTTTCTGTTAAGTAGAGGGTCGTCGGTTCAAATCCGGGCTTGCACCTCGTGAGTTGTTCGGAATTTATGTGCAAAACTTAATTTGAATTTTACTATAAGATTTTCTTTGAAGGAAAACATCGTGAGGAAACGCAGCACACACGTCTGCGAAGTAAGTTAATGATGTGTGTGAAGTTGTCAATCCCCATTGTGCCCGCGTGGGAACCTGCAGCCCTGGCTCTCTTATTGTGAAAGGAGGCCTGTGCCCAGCGGTGGGACTATATGTATATATAGGCTAAATATTGTTGTTATTTATTATGCCTAGACCGCTTTCTAAATAGACCTATTTACTTTTCAGCCTCAACCGAAGGTCCGTCCGCCCGTCAAAGAACGTGCTCCACCGTCCTCCTCGGACAACGACGAAGACAACGAACATGACCTCATGGAGAACAATAGCAACGATGAAGACCTCAACTCTGTTCAGGAAGTCCTCATCAAGCAAGAACCTATCCACGTACATTATAAACAAAGGGCCAGAGCTCCCGCTAAAACCCACAAACCCCGAATTACTAGGCCTTTAAAAAGAAGAGTCGTCAAAGAACATCACAGCTCTAGTTCTAGTAGTTTTGTCAGCAACGTTCTGGATAGTAGACTAGCGGAGGCGGTTAAGTTGTTAAGAAGGTCAGAAATGACCAGGAAAATGGATGAATGTGATAGTTTCGCGAAATACATTGCCGATTCATTGAGAAAACACGACGATAGAACACAGTCAATGATAAAGCAGGCGATCAACAATATCCTGTTCGAACAGGAAATGAAGAAGTATAGCTCTAATCAGCAATATGCTGTGGTTTTGGCTGGAATTGATGAGAATCCCTTGATATTGAGCGATCAGGATGTCACTGAGAAATAACTTTCTCTGAATAATTTGCTTTTGGCATTCTTGGAGAAAATGATTGATGGAACTGCGGGGAAAGATTTTCTCCCGCGGCCATAATTTATGAAGATAGAAAATTTGTTCGGTGATTTAAACAATCGAACTTCCTACTTAAAATCGGGACAAGAGTATTTCTACGGTCAAAGGGAATTTTCGAAAGACTATTACGATAACTTGGTGTTTAATTTAAAATTAATTTTAAACCGAAACACCAAAGTTTTGGTTTGAAGTTTACGTGCATACATCGTGGGACATTTCAAGCTTAATGTCTGTAAAGGTAGTCTTCTCAGAAAAGATACAGTTGGACAAAAAAATTAAGGATTATTAATATAATTCAACGGTCCCACCGAATAAACGTGTAAAGGAAAAACTGCAACTGTACAGGAGCGATTAAAAACTTAAAAAATAGTATCACTCAGTGGTGATTGGATATACTTAAATACAATGTATGACCAAATTAAAGTTAAAAAACATTATATCCATGATTAAAATATGAAGTACGAAAATATTAATAGTTTATCAGAAATGAATACAAATCCTTTTAAATTTGTATTCTTGTGAAAGTTACATAGGCGGCTGTTCGCTTGTAGTGTTTGCTCTATTATTCGTGGGAAAAGTCATATATATTTACTTTAAAATGTAACATAATATTACTCTGTTTTATTGGACATTAAAATTTGTCTATGCGAATATTGTATAATTACATGGTTATTCTAGTAATTAGTCATACATTTTAAAAGCGCAAAAATGCATTACAATTTTAAAGATTCTCACGAACAATATTACGAAGCTGGTTAGTTATAAACATGCAAGAATATAGGTTATACGTAGTGTGCAAAATACATACTAGCAATAGGCATTCGTGAAGGATTGTTGATTTTATTTTCCGTAGAATAAACATTGGAGTACCGATTCACTATAAAATTAATTGGAAAATAAATCTGAAAGAAATTATGAGGTGTATTTTGAGCGGAAATATCAAAAATATAAAAAAAATAGATAAGCTTTTACACGATTATTCCGAGGGGCCGTCGAATTGTAGATCTTCAACATATTTCATTTGTACAGACACGTTGAAATTAATATCGTCACTAAACGAAAAATTCAGCTTTTGGAAAAAGGCATTTAAAGTTTATGAAAATAAGTTTAAATTTGAAAAAAAAGCGAGACTTTTGTTTAGTGGCAGTATCGTTTTGAACGCATCATAAAATACGGTCTTGGAAAATATTCAATGATGTAAATAGAATTTCAATTTTTTCTCTATTTCTATTATGTTCACTAAATTGTATTGTATTGTACTTAGTTAAATTATCTTTCAGGGTCGTATAAAGTTGGGCTTTGTAAATAGCCTGTAAACACGAATGTATCCATAACATGAACCCTCTCATTGTAACTAAAATTATACTAGATTATATATTATTGTAGATTATGAAGAAGCCGAAGATTCAAAAGCAATATTGTATTTGTACAACAACCAATGTTTACTTACTTGCATTAAAACGGTGATTTTATTCCTATTCCATATTTGCTACTTCGCCTGTTACAATTCCATTAACACAAATTTATTTAAGTTTAATTATTTCTATCATGAATGTTTATTGTTGTATAGGTTTTCTATTTTCTAGTTTGTATCTACTACTTATGCAGCTTTTAAGATATAATGTTCTGTATTTCACGTAACAGATTATCATAACATAACAGCGTCATAATTCTGCTGAAAGGATAAAATCGCTGGAACTAAAAATTGGCTTCAGCACATATTTTAACATAATTAACAGATATTTAAACAAAAATGTAGATTATTGATAATCGACATAGTCAATTTATAAAGCAACAATATGGTACATTATTGAAGAGGTAAAAACCGCAGATAGCGACAACCGATGCCTCGTAAATGATAGACATTAGCTTGTGATCCGTCAACGTTTCTGCATAATGGTTCACATCACGCCACTGCATATTTTCCTTAACTTCTTGCCACCACCCATCAAGGTATTTAGCGCTGCATACGTGCCAACCCGCACGATTATGAACCCACCTGCTACTAACGTTTCGTGTTCGAAGCATATTATCACTATCTATAAAATCCATTACTTCTTTATCTTGTACGTTTTCATGACATTATCAAAGCACAGCAAGCAATGTACAACGGTTGCTGTTACTAGTTCATGCTGTACTGTCTTTAGCGAGAAATGTATGGCTTCTTGTCGATTGCACTTCTAGCGGGTGCATTAGAAGAGTCATTTACATAATTATTGTTCATGGATGCTTTTGTTCCTCGAGTTATTTTATCAGTGTTTTAAGTTGAGTTATGTACGGTGTACTTGGGAAGCTTATACTTAGTTTCCTTTTACGGTGGTAGCGGTAGTGTAGTGCATTAGAGCAAATCGCAGTGTATCACGCCACTCCGCGTCACCGACAGCGGCATCGGCGGGGCGGGTAGGGGCGGTGCGGCGGTGTCGCGGTGGTGGTACAAGAGTAGTTATATATTTTTTGCAGCAATCAGCTATTTGTATATTAATTGCTATCGTTGCAAACTTGCCAACGATTTTGTTTATTGCGAAGCTGGTTTCATGCTACATTGTTAATGGTAGTCAACTTTTCGGTAACAGGGATTGCTGTGTGAAATTTCAAAGGCTTATCAGCCTCCTTTGAAAATGAAGACATAAACCCAAGGCTTGGCTTCTTCAAATTGCAGTCGTCAGCATTTCGCGCACGGCAACAGCTGTTGTTTTCGTCGTCCGCTGACCTTGATAATCATGCAGGCACGTCATTCTTCCAATGTCGGCTACTTATCAAAAATATTATGGCATTCGTTTGATAATGTGCAAGTGAACATTTCCTTTCGGTTTGTTGTCTTTTTATTCGTGAATATTTTCGCATGATATCCGCTTTTTCATGTTGTATTTGGAATACTTACGCGACTTTAGATAAGAACTTTAGTATCATCTCGATTCTGGAAAATTATTTACCTGAATTCAGCTTACGGTTGATAACATTCTACTTACGTCATTCCTCTGTTCGATGATAGTTGGGTTTCTGTTTTCAAAGAAATGTCGTGACAATTGACTTCTGGCAAAGTTACAAGAGATAAAAATGGCGGTTTACAAACATGTTGGTAACTCTCATGTTTTAGGCTTTTGTACAGTCAAGATTTTGTACTCTGTGTCAAACTTGACGAACTTCTGAGTTCACATGCTAAGTAATCTGCCTTAAATCATGAATGTTAAATACTTACCAAGAATTCTTTGACGCGTAAATCGAATGCAACCCAATGGAAATTCACTATTTTGTACACATACACTTCACGCCCGTTCCCCAGCGAGGTAGGCAGAGGCCACAGCCTTCAATTTATCACAATCCTGATGCACATATTTTTAAATTGCCTCTGTGGCTGAACGGTCATAATGCTAGTCACCACGCAGAGATACCGGGTTCGATTATGAAACCAGAAGAAATATTTGTGTGGCCTACATTTATTTCTCTCGTAAGTTTGGATATAACGTGGTTGTCTGTGTGTGTCCATGGCACCCGCGACAAAGGGTTTCCTTACTGCGGGCATATGAATATGTGCAAAAAAATCTTTCGCCTTGTTGATAAGGCGAAAGATACATACAGCTTTTTTACAGATTTCATACAGCCTTTCAAACGTCCTCAATTCGGTCTTGGTAAGATCACCTTAGTCGGTCCTTACCAACTTGCTCGCTCAGCTCACACCATGAATCTGTTTCGTCAATCTCCTTTCATTCATCCTCTATACGTGTCCGAACCATCTTTAACGCCCTTTTCTTTCTTTATCTTTGTCATTACATATGCTTCCACGTCGCAACACTGTCTTATCACATAGTTTAGTTCAGCAGTTCCCCGTCAGAGTCACGCCATTTCGTACTACCGTTATTACCATACAACTATACCGGAGTTCGGATTATTTTATGAACAATAAGTCTGCTGACTTCGCCTTTCATTCTTCTGTATTCTACACATTTCTAATGGTTCGATTGCGTATTAACAAACATGAGACACGTACATGTTTCTATACGTTTTAAATCATATCCCACAGTTTAATCTCACAAAACAGGAGCATAATACCAAACAACTGACTGTTCGTCGAACTACTCCACAAAGCTGTACATAGTTACGGCCAACTCAAACATCTCAAAGTCGTCTTTGAAGCGTGAAATTAAACGAAATTACTCTTTATTTGCATCGTTAGCTATGAACACATGTCACTCGTTACAAGAACACATATATAGGTACCCATAACAATACGTGAAGCAATAAACCTAGAAGTGGGAGGTGCAAACGTCAAGTAGCTGGCATGAGATCAACTCGCAGGCGAGCGCGCTGGCAGACGCGGCGTCGCCGCTAAATATAGCCCTTACGCAACTTTCAGGCGATGTAAGTATCGACAATTACACTACACAACGCTATCGTTCACTCCCAGTAACCATTGTTACAATCGCGTTAAGTCATATTTTCCTACAATTTACTAACACGGGGCTTGTGGTAGATAACGTATGGCCTCGAATTATCGCAATAGCAGTTTGTTTTTGTTTTCCACGTTTATATCTAGATACGTTTAAAATTTTTCCTTTAATAAATAGAGTTAATCGTATAGAGGAAGTATTCATATGGTAAATCAATTTGATACCGTTCATTTGTTAATCACGTGCTTTTGTGGTACAAACCTTTAATAATGTACGCGCGCGATAATTGTCAATATCAACCTTTATACGTCCGGCTGCTTGGCACGGGGCTCCTCTGCAGGAACAGTTTAGTCCACACTCCATCAAGCTGGTCCGACGCGGGTTGGGGTCTCAGCATGTCTCTGACTAATCGTATTTGTATATACGAAAGTTTTCCCACAAGCTAGTTAATAGCGATGTTTACATCCACCGTTTAGTTATACTTTGATTAGTTCATCAAAAAAAAGATTGTCCAATAAAACTATTCAACCTAACTCACTTTTACGGCTTCTTGTAAAAACAAGTACTTGAAACTATTGTATACGAGATAGTGGATATAATGGCGGAGGAAAGTCGTAAATGTCACAAGAAATAACACTGTAATGGCTGTTTACTTTTTATTTTATGATAGTGCTATTTTTAATATCAATTTTTA